AAATCGAAGAGATGAGCTGGCACATCAGCCATGGCTTGGGCATACTCCAAACGAGAGAGCAGAAATCGGGCGCTTGATGAGAGGATCATTGTTGTTCGACTATCTCCGAGTACTTTGAGAGCGTTCTCTTGATCAAGCATTTTCGATTCCTTGTATTCGTCAGGCCGGCTCGTCAACATTCAATAAGCCGAAGAACATCGTCAAGTCGGCGATGGTGTCAGAATTGTGCACAGGATCTTGGTCATCGCTGTCGTTGACGTTTTTTGCGCGTGAAATACTCTTCAATGTCAATGGATGCGGCTTGCCCATCCTGCAGTATCTGCAGAGTGTCTTGGGGAATGTTATCCATGTTAAGCTGGTCTTCGGACTCGTTGTGTTTGGCAGGTTCCTCTTTGCCAAAGAGAAACGCGAAATTGGGATCTTCACGGTCTTCAGCAACCTCATTCACCCATTGTGGCTCGTGTTCGTGGGGGCGCAAAGGCTTTGCAAAGGTCGAATTGATCATGGAATGCATCGAATCGGCGTTGATTTGGCCCATAGAAATCCCAAAGTTCCTCCGCTTCGCCGCGAGTTATGGAGCGGCGGATATAGTATCCATCTTTGTTGGTGTCTTTCCAACGCCAAAAAGTTGCCCTCTTCAACATCTTTCCCTTCTGTGCCTCGGCCTCACGAGCAGAACGACGTTGTCGTTCCGAATCTTTTTCCACAGCACGCATCTTTTCATTGACGATCGCTCGACGGGCAAAAAACTCGACCCAAGTTTCATCTTGCTTCTGTCCGCTTCCTTTAGCAACTGGTGGGTGGGAATGGGTGACCACTGAAGGTGCATAATCCCAATTCCGGAAGGTGTTGAAGCGTCGAATGGCGGGATCCACATAAACCCACTCCAAGAAGCCTTGTGGGCCAGGAATAGATTCAAGGCGTTTAATATCGTCTTCGTAGATTTCGAGCCGGATGACTTGCAGGGAGCTTGCGGTCGCAAGGTGTTTGCAGAAGGGAATAGTGACATGTAGAAACAATGGAACATGGATAGTATTTTCAAGAATACCCTTCACAAACCACTCGATCCGTCGATAACCGCTAATGGCCTCCACCGTCGAGAATTCGATGATGCCTCCAACGCAATTCTGGATACAAGTCTCCATGATATCTTCCAATGTATCTCGCGTTGAAGGTTGCATCGCTAGCTCGCTCGTAATAGTTGTCCGCCAATCGTACCGGGCGAAGTCGAGCATCAGTAATCTCGAAGTAAGCACGGCCACCAGAGGTAGGAAGGCATCGCGCGAGGCATAGACAGCCTGGAGTAGTTTAGATTCGGTAGTGTGTCCCATTGTGTAGCCATACGCGGCAGGAACGAGGGGCAAATACCCGCGAAAATGGTTCGGAAAGCATTCCCGAGTTTTCTTAGATGCCCAGGTGAGAGCAAGTTCGAGCAGGCCCTCTGCTCTGCACCAACGTAGGCGGATTTCTGGGTCCAGTTGCCAGACATCGCCTCGGAACAATGTGGGAACGGAAGCGGGGACGACATCGAGAGAATGAAGCAATGGACCAGAGAATATGTTGATGCTCGGGAGAAAGAGGGTGTGCGGGAAGTCGGGATTCAGCCATGAAGTTTGGTAAAGCGTCGGAGGAGTTTCCGAAGACGCGGGACCGGGGCACTGGGAAATTGTCGGGATTCTGGTGATGAATTCCCGGTCCCCATTCAACACCGCAAACACGCCAGTTTCGACGAGGCAAGACCATTGAAGGTCTTCGAGGGCTATAAAGCTCATGAGTAAGACTATAGATACGAGTTAGAAAGCAAATGACTTACCGGCGGTATTTCGTGCTGGTCCAAGGAAGAAAGCGGGACGAGACGCAACGGACGGGGAGCAGAATTATTCGAAGAGGGCGCTTTTGTCGTTTTCTGACTTGTGGGCGGCGTCGATAGTGGCTGCCGAGTCGATGAAGACGCAGATCCTCGCACCTGACGGTCATCGTCTAAGTGCTGATCTCGTCGGTACGGATGGTATTCGAGTTGGCGACGAGAGGAATGGTGGCGGTCGGCCCCCAGTCTCGACGGCCCAGGCACTTGACGGTCATCGTCTAAGTGTCGTTGTGGTTTGCGGGAAGCCTTCTTGAAGCTCTTCGACATCTTCCGAGTGGTGGTTGTCGTGTGAAAGATGATCGGCGTCACATGTGCACGTGCGTTGGTGACATACGTCACATCCACGCTTTCCGATTCGACCTCCAAGTCCGCCTCTATGTTGTGCTAGCCGTTGACCGGCAGCACTTGGCTACTCGCTGCTTGACGTTGACCGTCAGCAGTCTGAACTCTATCTCGACGTCGTGCTAGCCGCTGACCAGCAGCACTGCCTGGTCCCCGGATTGTCGTCGTGACTTTCGGTGAAAACAACACGACATAGACTGCTTGCCGTTGACCAGCAGCAGCTTGGAATCGATGATCTGAAGTGTCCACTGCCCCCAAAGACAGGTAAACTCTGACAATATCTCTTGGAGCGTTGTTCTGAATGTTTTCTTAGTATTCTTCGCTGACATTCTTGGAGGAATCTGTATTCGCTTGGACTATCTACGACAGTAACTACTCAATACACTCCATTTACCCAACCATGCGTGAAGTTGCCGCCACAAACAGCTCGAACGCCTCCTTCGAGACCTGCAGGTCCTCGACATACTTTTGCGGCTGCGACGAGAGCCATTTCTGGTTGTACAAACGCTTCGGAAGTCCAACTGGTGGCAATTTCTTGCTGATCTGCGCGCCCGCGTCGACGTTGGGCGGCCTGGTTACCACCGTGGATCTTTTCAAATCGACGGGTCTCGAAATCGATCATCTTCATATGGTTGACAATCTCGGGCTCGCGCCAATAGCAAATCTTGATTTCGAATATCTTGACCTCCGCGCCTTCAATGACGGCGTCTTTCGATTCTTCTTCCGACATGCCCGCTGGACCCAGACGCTCTAAGATCTGGAGCAATCTCTTCCACGTGTTCAGATCAATAGCTCTGGTGGTCTCTTTCAAGTAAATTACTGCTTCAACTGTCTTAACACGTCGTTCGTGTTTCTATCGTTTCAGAATCAATCAATGAAACACCAAATAATGTTTTGTTTTCCTTACCGCGTGCTGCAACTGAATTTTTTTCGATGCCAAACGACGCTGCGCGAGTAACACCATTCCCCGTGTGCGTGCCTCAGCTGGGGTCTCCCAACGACCTTCAAAACCAATCCACTTGGGCTGGAATGAGTTCCAATCGTATCGGATCCTCTCCAGCTGCTTCTTCACCGCTGACTGCAGAAACTCGCGCTTGATTTCCCCCTCGCTAACCAAGCCCAAACTTCCTTCATCGAGATCGATCGCATAATCCACCACCAACTCCATCAATTTCTCGTTGTACGCGGAATGGATGTATCCCGGGTTGAAGTCCCATTTCAAGTTGAAGGCGGGCAGCTCCGCCTCTTCGTCAGCAGCAAATGCCTCTACCTCTTGCTTCGTGACTGAATCAGCCACAATGAAGTCAATTAGCTGCTCGACACAAAATATCTCGCAGATTGCTTCACGTAACTTGGCCTATACAACTGTAAGTGTTTTTTCCTCGCTCATATGAACAAATCCTTACGTGTGCATAGTTGATCTGCTCTTTAGTGCGAGGCTTGGCTGCATTTTCCGCTTCCGCTTTCGCAGCCGATTTTCTTCCCTTCTTGGTTGGCGTGGCAACAACTACATCTTCGCTCTTCCCAGCTGTTGCAAGACCATTGAACAACGCGGACAATTCGTCAACTTCAAGATCACATTTCTCCGCCAACTTGCGAATGAGCTTTTGGTGCGCTTGGGCAGCTTCAGCGTTGGTTGCTGGAGTGTTGCTGCTCGATGTTGGAAGGGGAACTGGGTCGAGTGGGAGTACCGTTGGACGCAAGCCTTCGTTCTGGAGCAACTGTACGCTGAGGCGACCCCGACGTTTGACTGGGGTTGCTTTGGCGCGATTGGTGTCTTTGATTTGACTACGAAGTTGCACAACTTCATTATCGCGCTCATGCTATATCAGCAGCATTAGATTCATGACCAATATCTCTTCCAACCCACTCACCACACGGCGTTGCAGCTGTGAAACCCCGTTTGCTGCTATCCTGCAGCTGGTTCTGCCTTTCAAGGAGCTGCTGATTCTATTGGCACGTAGATTGTCAGTAAGTGTTCATAACAAGCATGTAAACATACCAATTGACTCAAGTTCTTCTGATCAAATAGGAACTGTCCCTGCAATTGCTCCTCGTGTGCCTCAAACGCTTTCAGCGCCGATGCCTTCCCATTGATATCAGCTTGCAAAGTAGCGATCAATTGGGCTTGGGCTTGGGCTGCTTGTCGAGCTTGATCCAATTCCTTGCGGAGAAGTTCTCCCTTCTCGACAGCAACACGGCGCTCCTTCTTTGCAATACCGAGAGCCTCCTTGTAGTACTCCTCCGTCTCTCGGACCTGAAGTCGGTCAATTCGTGTGCTGCAATGAAAGAGGAATCAAGCGCACTACTTCCGCCTCCTTGCGCTCTTGATTTCTCCGGCGGACATCTGCCTGCAAGGACTGAGCATCGGGCATAGCGTCGTCCTGGTCCATTTCAAACGGTCAAACGTTCTGAAATGCAGTCGCAATGTGGAGGAAGGAGTTCTCTGAGCGTCAGCGCCTCAGAGCAATGTGTGCGTTGATGGAACTGCCGCCTTAAATAGCACATCTGGTATTGTGTCTCAGAATGGCAAGTGTTGTATGCCATTGTCTAATTGTGGTACCAATTGTGGTACTTACCGAGCTCGCCGACCCTCCAACCACGTAATTTGATTGACGCCGTTTGCCGATCAAGTCGGCCCGCACGTGCACTGAGCGCCTCTTTCCCTCCTCCACTCTCAAACGTTGACCGTTGGGAGCTTGGTCCCTTGTCTCCTTGGCGCTGACCGCCAGGAGGCTCTGACGAACTTTGATTTGTCCCACTGCGTAATAATGATTTTGGTTTACTATATTTACACAACTGTCAACACTCGTTCGACGACGCGATCAACAAGCGTAATGTTCGCATGCTGATAGAAAAACGCGAGTCCGGCAACCGCCATCACCGCCCAGAAGAGGCGAAAGAATGTCTCGCCGACGCGCTGAAGGAAGCGGCGCCGATTGGGTTGTTTGTGGTAGACCAAGATGTCGTTGACTGTTGTCTCGCGAGATTGAGCTGCGAAGATATATGGGACTCCTCCAACATTGCCGGCCTGACTAAACTGAGCTTTCAATCTCTGAGTTGAGCATGAACACACCGCAACCGTCTGAACCCAATCAGCGCCTTCGATCTTCAACTCCGCCACAAGTTTCCCACTACGTCGATCATGGATATAAACCACGCCGCAGTCGCTGCCGCTAACGATGGAACTGCATCCGTCTCCGATAGCCACGTTCCGAATGCGTGCAGTCTTTTTCATTGGGAAGCTTTTGACGAGCTCACGCTCTGTGAGTCGATACAGGTTGATGCCGCTGGACGGATCGTCGATACAAAGAACACCGTTCGCTGCATCAATAGCCACCCCACCTCTGAAACGCAATCAACATACACTCTGCAGCCTTATCTTGACTTACATGGTCGATCCAATATTCCAAGCCCTGTTGGCTGTCGAAATTGTGCCGCCCGTTTAGGCTGTAGCTGCAACTAGTGAGTTTTCCTTCTAGCGAGATACGATAGCATGCTTACGCCTTGCCACAGTATAATCCAAACAAGAGGAGTTCACGCTGGTCACCGTTCATTGACCCGAAACCGATGGCGCGTGGAACACAGTTCTGAATTTTGAACGAGAAAACCTCATGCAAAACCATTGCTGCGCTAAGGGTGTATACCTGCAGAACACCGCCTCGATGACAGACACCCAATCGATTAGTTGGCGCGTCAAATGCCAGCCCAGTAATTTCCATTGGCTCAGACAATTGACGCGCCCACATCTCGGTGAAGGTCATTCCCTGTGTTGTCTCAGCGCGATACACATAGAAGCCGGGATACCAACCGAAGTTTCCTCACGCCAACCTGCAACGTAACCAGCATGAGTGCCTATTACGAGCGCCTCGCCGATGTCGTCCTCTCGTTTGATCCACAACAAGCTCGTTGTTGCACCACGAAGATCAGGCGATGCAGGGACGCTAACTGCGCGCCGCCCAGAGAGTTCCCAGACTTTCGTGCCGTCGGAGCCTACAGTAGAACAATGTCAATTACTTCTCGAACCAGCTTACGAGACTAACCTCCGCTTGCCAGGAACTTCCCATCATGGCGGACGCTAAGGGAGATGATGGCGCCAGAGTGGCCGGAGAGCTTGAAATTGAGTCGGTAGTCGACTTCCATTGTACTCTTTAGAGCACAGTACTGCCCTTTTATCCTAATGTGCTTGCCGAGCAACAATAAGCCATTATGACAAATATGGAAATATTCTTGTCGCCGATATGGAACTACTTGTCCAATCGCCACACTCCCACAATAACACAATAAAAGGTTTCAAGAGGTTGCAAGACGACTGCTTCAAGACGACTGCTCCATCATGGCCACCCCCGAATTTGTTGCTCAAGTGCAACAGCCACCTGCACCCCTGCTTGTACTTCTTGCGCATACCAATATTGCGACACCCACATTTACCTCCCTACTCCTTCATGAAGACCTGGATCTCGGCCCTCCTAAGAAGAACGTCATGTTCTTGGACGATGACATTGACCACCGGGTTCCCATTCCGGTTGGTGGCGCTTCACGCGTTCGAGCCAAGAATTTCGCGCGTCACACTGGCTGGACTCAAGATCGCGTGGATACATTCACGGTATGTGTTTCGTTTTGTCGTGGATCACATCTAATCATATCAGGACTCTGTTACCAAGATTGCCGAGGAGTTTCTGGATAAAACCAAGTGCGCAACTGATCAGGACGCCGGAGCGATAGATATGGTGGTTTCTAAGGTGAGCTTATGGCATTCTCTGGCTTGAGCGACTGACCCTGTTTCTAGGCTGCCGCGGCTTGGCCTGATGTCGACAAATTTGTGGCTCGTTGGCCAATTGATGTCGTCATCATTGGCTTCTGCAAAGCTTCCAAGGCGAGCGAAAAGAAAGCGTCTACCACAGCTGTCTCAGCTGCTTTTGAAGAAATGATTGGCTATCGCACTGTAAGCCATCTCTGTGCCGCTGATGTCCGTCATATTTACTCTTATTTTAGCGTCGTCAAATGAATACTTAGTACACTACTTCACATTCTGTACTTACCTACATGAAATTCACTTGAATTTTCGTCCTCTCATGCAATTTCTGGTGAGGTTTTGTAATGCCGATGACAATCGGCGCACTATCTGCATCTTATCGTCACCATCGGCACGCTATCTGCATCTTATCGTCACTGGCTGATGGCCATCAGCCGGTGACGATAAGATCATGATCTTGGCCGATCCTTGCCGATGGCTCGAAAAAACATGAAAAACGTGCATTGGTAGCTACATAAGTATTGACAATGTACAGACATAGCTAATATGCAAGCTAATTCGGAAAAGCGCCTGGCATGCGCGGCTCTAATGGTTTGTTTTGAGTTGTGTGGTTTGAAGTGGGTCGATGTGAATGGCGCGCCGCATAAGCTGAACGATTGACTCCACGAGGGCACCGCTTCACGCGTCTGACTCCATGAGGACACAAAACGGCACGTCTGACGCCATGTGGGCACAATCGAGAACCCGTTGCGGCAGTAGCAGATGAAGAGGGTCGAGCATGCGATCTGGGGTAATGATGAACTGGACGAATGGTTTTGGCTGCGGAAGGAGGGGGGAATGCTGGAGTAGGTTTGAATGGAATCGAAAGTTTCTTCCCTCGGTGCAGGATCCCCCGAGATAGATGCAGGTTGGGTGGGATGTTGCGCGGGCCGAACAGGTTTTGCCCTAGGTGTCGGAGAAGACAAGCACTAAAAAACGTTAGCATCGACTCAAATCGCACACAGATAGGAAACACCTCGGCGTGGCGTATCTGAGAGATTGCATCCTCGCGTGATGAGGTATGCTGAGAACGAGCACGCGATGCAACAGGCGTCATTGAAGGAGATTGCGTTGTCGTTGTCTAAGTTCGAGATTATGAGGTTAGATTATGAGGAGGATTCAAGGATTCTAATGACGAACCTGCAAGTTATGAATCCCGGAGAAGAAACCCTCCAGCGGCGAAAGAGGGGAAAGCTAAGTAAACTTAGTTGGTTCAGCAACAAAACAGTGGGTTATTGTCGTACCTTGCTGTCCGCATTCAATTCGGCGAGATGCAGAGTCGATTTGCGCATATGTTGGAGGGGATTCGAGTGGGATGTTCTTGCAAGTCTTAGCAGTCGTCGGAAGTAGTGGTACTTGTATGGATCGCTCGCCAGTTTGGGTGAAAATGGACTGCGTAATAAAGAGGGCGGCTTGGGAGACATTAGAGTGCGCGAGGAGTTCGCGGGGTAAGATATGGACCCGCCAGGGATCGACAATAATTGTCCTTGACTCCGAAACTTGAGACAATAAGCAAACGAGGCTTGGCGTCTGCAGCTGGCGTCGGCCGATACATATCTACCGCTGACGATCAGCGTCTAGCGGCAGAGATCGAAAGGAAAGCCACCACTGACGGTCAACGTCAAGTGGATGGTCGAGTCTGAAGCAAGTGGGAAGATGATGACAAATGACTCACGGCATCAGTCACACCTTCGCCGATCTTGCAGCCAACTTCCACCACTGCTTGACGTTGACCGTCAGCAGCCAGGAACGCGTGGACGTGCTGCAGCACATACCACTGGAAAGCCCAAGGCAGTACCTCTGCCCGCAATTGGATCGGCCGCCTTGACGCTGGACGCTGACCGTCAGCGCCATGTGCTATTGTAACATCAAGCTTGGTCGTCGCTAGCCGACCTCATCCCCTCCGGGCCACATAATTAAAGTCGAGGCGCTACTCCATTTCGGACCAACGCCATCCTCTCTTGGACACAATCACGCCAATCTCCTGCCTAGTCCGTAATTCTCAAATCGTCGTTTTGGTCGTTTTTCGGCCACTGCTTGACGTTGACCGTCAGCAGCCAGCAACGCTGGACGTGCTGCAGCACATACCACTGGAAAGCCCAAGGTGGTACCCCTTCCCGCAATTGGACAGGCCGTGACGCTGGACGCTGACCGTCAGCGCCATGTGCTATCGTCATCGGCTTGGTCGTCGCTAGCCGACCTCATCCCCTCCTGGCCACACAATTAAAGTCGAGATGCTACTCCAGTTCAGACCAACGGTATCCTCTCTTGGACACAATTACGCCAATTTCCTGCCCACTAGTTCGTGATTTTCAAATCGTCCTTTTGCGTCAGACTTGCTAATTGTTCAGACAGCTTCAAAAACCACGACTAAGTCAGGTCCTACAGCAGCATCATGAGCCAGAGTCGCCACAATCATCCTCGTCGCGATCGTCCCCGTCGTAATCGTCCACAACGGCTTGCCTCCGTTTGTGGCCATTCTATCTCCAGCTCCCGCTACGATGGGTCCGATGTTGGTGTGTTGCGTCTTCGTTTTGTCTTCTTGCTTGCTTACTTATTTTTTCAGAAGCAGACTTTTGCGGTATCTGCGGGGCTTGTGTCACCTGTGGACTTTTTGCGGGCGAAGAGTTTGCGGAGCCTGCCTTTTCTACGGCAACTGCTCCTCCTCCAAACATTACTTCCGAGCTCCCAGGGACTCATACCCCAGAAGGTGATATCGGTGAGTTTAATCTTGCAGTAAATTCTGTCGTTCAATGCTTTTTACAGAGATTCGCGTACCCCCAGAAATTTTTTTCACCCTATTCGTGCTCCAAGCCAAAATCACCGGAACCTGGGATCACTGGGTCGCGTACGCCTTATGCTTCACGATCTATGTGTGGCGTCATTGGATTCCGTACTTTTTATGTATCCTTGTGCTCGTTTTGGCCATGCGTTGATATCCTTGTCAACAATTCCATATATGCCAGCGAACAATGCCAATGATATCTCCTAATGAAACAATACTCTCCTGACATAAAACGAGTCAAAGTCTCGCGCGATTCCGCCCCATATTCCTGCTTGACGATTGTCGTCAGCAGCTTCCTCGATATCACATCGCTGTTAGACGATTGTAGTCAGCAGTTGGTCGATGCCGACAGACGCTTACTTCACATGTTCACGATGCCCGCTCAATGGCAATCGTGATCATCGAGTGGCAAAGCTCGACAAAATTGCCCACAAGCTTGAACTAAAAGTGTTTCGCCAAGCTGCCGATGAGGACCAATTAGCCGACCTGATGACAGGGCTAGTCTTCACAGACAACCCAGTTAGCCCCCGCGACCAAACCCACTCGAAGCTTTTCAGCTCTCGGGATGACTTACAGGCAACTATTCCCGATGTCCCTACCGCCTTTACATCTATCACAAAGACGGAAGCTACCCAAACCATGCGAGAAATGCTTTTCGAAAACTTGCGGCCGTCAGCCTTCAACAAACAGAAGCACACCGAGATGTTACTGACGACCATTCTCGAACGCATCCGGACTGTGCATGGGGAGCTTGATCTTCAGCATGCGCTCCATGCTGGTCCTGATAATTTTGAGGCATTGCATCTTGCGCTCCATGAAGCATCGAGTACTGTCAAGTCGGCGGGGCGTCTGATCTCAAATATCAAAATACCGTCTTCCAAAGGCAAAGCGACGCGACGACGTGCTCCAGAAAATAGCGGCTTGGTCGAACTTCTGGCCAGCGTCAAGGAAGAAGCTGCAACTCTCGACTCACTTGTTGATGTCGTCAGTTGCCTGGTCCCAGAACCAGTATCCATGGATGAAATGCAGTACGATGCAGGTGTGTGTTTCTTTTTTTCTTCCCTTCTTATTGCTCATAACTATTCTACAGATGACCATTTTACCAGTCCGATCGCTGAATTCGATACTATCACCCAAGTTTTCATCTTTCTCGCCGTTGTCTGCCATGTCATCGTCCGCGTCAGCGAAAGTTCCACAGACTTTATATTGGAACTCGTCCAGATTATCATACTGCTGACAATGTCCTTGGGCTCCACCACTCTCAAACCGAACCCCAAGCAAGAGGATATCATCAAACAGTTGCCTAAGAATCTCGAAAGCGCTCCCGCAGTTTCAAGCTTGATCCAAAGACCATTGTATATGCAGCTTGTCCCACCTGTCACTACACCCATAAGCCGGGAGAAAATCGGCTCACTGGAGCAGCGTCGTATCCTGAAACCTGCCAAGGTCTGGTATATCCCAAGAAAGGATCTGCTGTTGTCTGTGGTCAGCAAATCCTCGAGATGCGACATGATAAACTGCGACCAATCAAGCCTTTTGTCTACGGCGTCATTTGTTGATTACATCGCGTCAACGCTGGCCGACCCAGAACTGGAGCGATTATGCGACAAGGCTTGTGATGATGTGGGCTGCTGTGGCGGAGGCATTAAAGCAAAATCCACCAGGCTCAATAACCCCAAATGAAATCAACAATGTATTCGAAGCAGCCTTCTTACGCAGCTTCCCTGGCCCGGTGGATGGAAAATTGTTCATTGAGCGTGAAGGCCGCATGCGGCTTGCTTTTGAGGTCATGGTAGACTTCTTCAACCCCAATGGAACACGAAAACGCGGCAACCACGACTCGATTGGTCTTATATCCGTTGTCAACCTCAATCTTCCAGAGGATATTCGTTATCGTCCCGAACTCATGTGGATCAGCATCATCCTTGGGCCACATGAGCCTAACCACGACCAGTTAAATCACTACATCCGCCCTCTTGTGGACGACTTCGTGGTGGGTTGGGAGCGTGGCATTCGCATGCGGACTGCATCAGCCCCAACGGGTCGTAGAGTTGATTTTGCTATTGTAATTACAGTCAACGACTTGCCAGCAACTCGTAAACTTGTCGGAATGGCTGCTCATAACTCACATCACTATTGCTCTATCTGTATTACGGACAACGTCGCAACAATGCATAATAGTGACTTCCAGAATTGGCGGAGCAAGGACGTTGCAACTCTGCGTCGTGCTGCGTTTGCATGGCGAGATGCTCCAACCCAACAGGATCGTGATGCGATATTTGAAGAACATGGTGTCCGCTGGTCTGAGCTGTGGCGTCTCAAATACTGGGACCCAACTCAGATGGCCGTCATCGATTCAATGCATTGCATTCTCGAGGGCCTTGTCCACCATCATTGTCGTCGTGTCTTACGGATCGACGCCAAGAATGCAAAGCGGAAGGAAGTATTAGGTGCTGCATTCAGTCACGATTGGATTCCATACGACCCAGCAACCTGCCCTGTTGCTTATCAACTCCCTGCTCAGAAGGTCGATAAAGAGCTTCTCCACGTTCGGCGTATTCAAAGCAAACTCGAGGAGGCGCTCTTGGAGAAGCAACAAGAGCATCCCGATAGTAACGGTGATGTGATTCTTCCGGAGGCTCACAGCGCAGCCATTGCCCAGAGTTCAAAACAACTACGCAAAGGCCTCATGAGTGCCAATCTGCCTGCGCTCCGCTTCGTAGCGTACTCGCTGGGCCTAAACATGCGCAATGCCAACTCCAAGCAAGGCTGTTGTGACATTCTCATCCAGTGGGTGAGTAAATCATCTGTTTTCATTTGAATAATACTCAACTTTTTTAGCGTTACACCAAGCCACACACTGCCGATACATTCGTTCCCAAGTGTATTGATTTGGGGGATATTAAATTCATACAACAAGTCATTGCCAACACAAGCACACCCGCCTGGGTGGATTCAGTGCCGAAGTCATATGGAGAGAGCAATGCTGGAACAATCAAGGCTTCAGAATGGCGAATTCTATCCACAATCTACCTCCCTATTGCCCTGGTCCTTCTTTGGGGCGACGAGCAAAAACAGCAAGCTCTCCTTGATCACACCATGGCACTCTTCACTGCTGTCATCCTTGTCTGTCGACATACGATGACACATGAACGAGCTGCCAAATATCGAGAGCTGCTCAAGTTTTGGGTTGATGGTCTACCAAAACTTCATCCCCATACGCAAGCTCATGCCCCACGACCCAACATCCATGTCGCATTCCATATATACGACTTCTTACTCCGTTTTGGACCTGTAGTGTCCTGGTGGACATTCCCCTTTGAACGTGTAATTGGATTTTTGCAGAAAATCAAGACCAATGACCATGTTGGAGGTCAGCTTGAAGCAACGCTTACCCAATCATTTTTTCGCGGTGCGAATCTCCGCCCGGTGGCTCCGTCGCCCTGATTGTCCGCGTGTTCTGCAGGAAATCAAAACCGTCTTTGAAGCGACTTTCCCATCCTACAATGCTCCCTTAGACTCTGCTCCACGAGCAGCTGATGGAGATTGTGCTCATTACACGCGCCATGGGGTTAATTTCTCCAGGGCTAATGTCCACTTAGGCAACAGTCTTGTTTTCTACTATCCGAACAACTCAAACACACCTATTCCAGGCAGTATTGAGAATATATTGTCTACCAATGGCAATGTGAGCTTGATAATCCGTCGACAGGCACCATTGGCCCCAGGTGGGCGGGATCTCTTTGCTCGGTACTATCCTTGGTTTCCAGCGCAAATGTACTCGTCTCAGATGCAGCGCTCAACTGACCGAGTACCAGTCGAAAATATCTTATCTCACTATGCTAGATATAATCTCCCGGATGGCCGTTGTGTAGTTCTTAATCTAGCTCGTACGTAGTAGGTAGTGGTAATAAATATAATCCCTCAGATGCCTGTTGGCCGAGTTTCGGCCGAGTGTCGGCCGACAACTAAACAATGCCCCGATACTCCGGATATCAGGGCCCATTTTTTTGGGCCCTGATATGTGTCATATAAGTGAATATTTTTTGGTTCTCGTTTTGGTGCAAAAACCGGTCTAAAAAAGGGCGTTTGATATGCCCTAAAATGGGTGACAAAAACTGAGTCCGTTTTGGCTTGATTATGGAGGAAGAAAAGGGGGGCTTTTTTTTGTGTCTAATCGGCTGCTGATCCGGTCGCCGTTTGTCGCGCCCATTTCTCATATAAGCAGGTAAATTTGGGACAAATTTTTTGGACTCAAATAGAGGCATAAAAAAAATTATATTTTTTGGTACATTGATTAGAGGCGTATAATCGATCGAAAGGGGCCCCGTTTATTCCGGAACTCCCGCAGTGGTTGAGCAATCAAAATGCTTTGTCATCTAGCGCAGCCACTGATTGATGCAGTGTTATCAATCTTGCGTTCCTCCCAAACGAACTTGAGGAGGTTGTTTGCAAACCGAAGCTTCATCTGCAGTGATTCTCGAAGATTAGCCAATGGCGCGCACTCTTCTCCCCAAGTATAGCGCCGTGGCTTGCATCCCCCGTGGATGTCCGCTTTAGACACACTAACATTTAGTTAGTGATGCTCAGGCTGTCCCAAGATAGCACTTACTCTGGCCACAGCCAAGCAGTAAGGCGGCTGCTACAACGACTATCCAAGGTAACCTACTATGCCTCATTGTCCCTCATTCTGACCGGTACAAGTTATGTCACTGCCACTCCCTGGTCAGTCTCTGTGATCTGCCAGGGACGCCTTGTTCGTTCAGCTTCCGTATCATTGTTGTGCTCAGCCTCAAGACCTCCGCTATCAAGTACGACAGGTCAAAGCTGGACAGTGATAGGGGAGAGAGCGCACAAGAGTTTCAAACACCGGTCTATTTCAGGTTCCGAATCGTGTCGAGCGTCAATAGAGAGGCAGCCCGGGCCTGAATCCTGATTACGGAAGTGAAACTACATGGAAATTCGATTCTGGACACAGGCACGGGGTGCCAGTGCTCGTATGTATATATGGCGACTCAAATCTTGACTGGTTTTCGTGGAGATGGCCGTCTTCCAGGTGTACGAGTTGTAGGTTTTGTCCTTTCACTTCTATCTTTAACAATTGCTATGAGTGCTCACGCGACCTAGTGCCTTCGCGTGCTGCAGTATCGCTGCCGTAGGCAAGGATTCCCCGCATGTCATTTCTACTCGACTCACTTGCCACCTCGTCCAGCCCTCCTCATCTGGGACCATATCATCACTTTGGGTGAAGAAGTCCGCAGAGTTTGGACCCGGAAACTCAATGGGTCGACTGCTCTATACGTGATGATGCGCTATGGGACTCTCTTTGAAAAAATCGCAGTCCTCTTGCTGGCCTCATGGTACATGACCCCGCATGTCAGTAATATCTCTCATGGCCGCTTCTTTCATGTCCTTCAACTGACTCCATCGCAGGGGTATGTTCTATTCCTAGTCGAGTTAGCAAGACACAGCCGTCTCATCTCTTATGACCGGTAGATGCAACATCGCCGTGCGCGTTCAAATCTTCCCGATGTTGGTCCGTACACTTGGCTTCGGATGTATGTACAACTTCCTTCCGATTAGTTCGCTCATGTACGGTTCCGATAGTGTTCTCGTCTCTCCGTGTCTTGGCTCTGACAGAAAAAAAATTGGAGCCTTGCGGGCCTGGTGTTTTTCTTGTGTTTGCCATCCGCCATTACTCCTACGGTCCGTGCCCATAATACGGCAGATAGTGTCAAGCTGATCCAATCGTAGTTCGTATACTCGCACCAGTGGGCGCAGGGTGTTGATCGTTACGGTTGTCAATTGGCTTACCTCGCTTCTCCAATCGTCCATGACCGATGTGTACGTGCTTTCCCCAAAATTTTCCTTCGAAATAACTGAGCGCACTCAGAACTACACTTTCCTTTCCCCGTCGTCCATCTTCTAACTCGTTCCAGTGCGAATTGCGGGAATAGCGGCTGACATTCTCTCGGAAAGCATCGTCATCGCAGTGACGTTGAATCGGACATTCCATCTTCGCAATAGCGAATTGCCCATGGGAATTGGAGGCAAAGAACGAGCTGGTTTGGGTCGTATCTTGCTTAGAACGGGTGAGTTTCCGCTTGCTTTTTGGTTTATGTGTTTCAATGACCAACGCTCAACAGGCTGTATTTATTTCATGTATGACCGGTTACTTTTTCGGTAACTCCTCGCTGACTGATGCAATGCAGCGCCCTTCTCGTTCTCTCCCTAGCTGACATGCTTGTATTGATCGTAAGTACCCTCAAACCCACCGGTCTTCCAGATTGATGATACTGCGGTACTCTAGTTTGACCATGTGGTAGGATCACAACTGCTGCTTTCATGTTTTCTACCAGCTAACGCCTCTTAGCCCGCATTTGCCACACGATATGATTACTGGGTTGTTCCATATTATACCCCTGTGTTCGTGTTCGTCTTTTCTTGTGGTGATAGGCTAATTTGGAGCAGCTTCCGCACAATTATAATCTGTCGCTTCCTGCTCATGCTTCGGGGTATCTATTACGATGAACTCGATGGCAAAATTGATGGCGAGGCCACTCACATCGCCAGCGAGCAGCTCGTCTTCGCGCGCTCAAGATCCCTCGCTTCTCGTATCATTGGCACCATGGGTGCTCCTGTGGATGCGAGTCGTTTCGATGGAGTCGATTATGAACAAGATGACGAGTACGACGAGTGGCTGGATGATCAAGATGAAGATAGTCTTGCCGGAGTCAAAGCCAAAGACCCATTGGCGGCGGGCTTAGCTATGATGGCGCAGCCAGAGACCAAATCAAAGGGAAAAGGGAAGGAAAAGGGCGACTTGGAACCTGGGATGGACATGGAAGAAAAGCATCATGAAACGACCCCGCCTGTCGCCAGAAGCCCATCACTCTCAGGCTCAGGCTCAGCCAGCGATGCATAGGAATGCTCAAGTTCTGACGTTGAAAGTCTGTTGTCTCTTTGGACCCCGCCAAGATCCCGCGTCGTAGAGGAAGTTCAAGGCCTGAGAATGAATATCTATCTGGAGTTTCAAAAAAGTAGCTACTGTGTACTAGTATGTATGACCTAAATATTCATGTATTCGTTGGCAGCGCAGCTCCATAAACAAGTCAAAAATCAAGTCAAAATCAAGGAAGTCCGCCGTTGCTCACGTGATTCGCTGTCAAATCGCGACTTCTTCCTCCAAACGTTCATCGTTTCCAACAACTTAACAAGCCCAACACAGACCTCCGTCGTTCTTAACTCCACACACCTGGGTTCTCGCTTCCGCACGCTCGTTACTCCAGCTGGACGATGCGGTGCCCCGGTCCGGGGTCGCTCGTCCTCTTGCTCGGCGCAAGCGTGAGCGCTCGCAATGCAGGTGCTCAACCTCGTTCGGTCTCAAGCCTGAACGCCAGAGGGACGGTCGAAGCGCTTCTTGACGAGCTCCTTCATCACCTCGCAGTACGCCTCCAGTTGATTGTCTCCTTGCCCGCTTATTCGATGCTAAACTGCTTTGCAGGGTTCTGAGTTGGTCTCTGCAAATTCCACGGTCGATCTTCCCCGCCTGCGGTCCAAGAAGGACGCGTTCCTGAACGATGTGGTGTCTGCGTTCTCAGTTGGTATATCATCCGTCTTTTCCTCGTATTCTAAAATATGCTCCACAGGATTCAATCCAGAGGCCGATGAATATCGCCCAGCACGGAAATGTCGCAACGAACAAAGACAAGTTTATTGCTGACTTGGTTAACGAGATGACAGTCTCGGAGCTTGGTGAGTGTCGCTTCCAATTTTTTTCAAAAATTTGTGGTGGTGCTCATCGTGTACAGCTATCCAGATGCATCTTATGTTTGCTGGTGCGTAATGGAACTTCTGCTTAAATTTCTGGACTTCAACTATTCCGGCAGATAATATTATTGGCATCAACTCGGACAACGCAGGTTACGGTAATATGGTCACCTAACTCACTCCCTTGTTAACCACTCACAGACACTGCGATGGAGGTTGACCCAACCGCGAGTGTTGGTGTTATTCATGACTGGTACCCCACCAACAGCACACAATTTAACAGCATCCAACAACTAAACCTCGAAAAATCGCGCCTCAAGATCCCCTTTTTGGCATTCGGCGAATGTGTTCATGGTGTGGGGTCTTTCCGACAGAGTATGTTCCCGCAAGCTATCGGTCTGTCGGCTTCGTTCGACCCTTCGCTGGTATACGACGTGGGACGGGCAATTGGAACAGAGGCTCGTGCAATTGGTGTTCATGCATGTCTGGCTCCGGTTCTTGATTTGGGCAAAGAACCTCGATGGGGCAGGGTGCAGGAGGCGTGGGGAGAAGATTATGTGCATACAGCGTTGATGGGGATTCAGTTTGCGAGGGGTTTGTCGAAGAACGGGTCTTGGGCCGACCCAGATGCTGTCGTCCCAGTCATGAAGGTAAGAAATCAGTCCGTGAATCCAGTTGCGATACTGAGCTTCCAAAGCATTTTGCCGCCTACGGAAGCCCGAAATCAGGACTAAACGCGGCTCCTCATATGGGGCGGGGCTTGCGCGAAGTAATGCAAGAGATGCTCGTCCCGTTCAAGGCCGTGGTCGACCTCGGTTTTGCGAGAGGTGTCATGATGTCAACCATTGCTTCAGTACTTATCTTACTTGATTCTTATTCGTCGGCAGGTCTTACAATGAGCTCGACGAAATTCCTGCTCATGTGCATCCCGTCCTCTATGGTGCATTGGCAGAGTGGGGTTTCGATGGTTGGGATATCTTGAATTGTGCGAGTCTGACTTGTACTGACGTATTTCAGGGTTTACTCTCGCAGATGATACCGGTATGGAGCAGCTCTTCACAAGCCATGGTGTCGCTTCTTCTCCGGCGGATGCTATTGCACAGTGGTTTAATGCTGGCGGCATGGTCAATTTCTATGACTTTCCGATCGATGTTTGGGTCAACAGCACCATTGATCTTGTTGCCAATGGAACAGTAAAGAAAGCGACTTTGAAGGACCATGTCACAAAGATTTTGGGTGTCAAGTACGACCTCGGTCGGTATCACACATTTTACCCTGTCGCCATGCCATTTTGCTCAAGCTAATTCAAGGTTTATTCGATAACCCATATCTTTCCGACACCATTAACGTCCAATCCTTGACCACCGAACACGCCCCACTGACGCTTGATGCCGCACGTAAGAGTATTGTTCTCCTCGAGAACCGAAACAGCATTCTCCCACTCGATCCCAAATCGCAAAATCTCAGAACCATGGCCCTCATTGGGCCGTTCGGCGATATGCTCAACTACGGCGACTATTCTGGGCAATGGGGAATGTATCCGACCAATCATTCCAGTACCATCCGGCAGGCGATGAAAGCACATTTGGAAACGCACTATCCTTCTACACAACTTGTGTCGAGCTGGGGCGCAGACACATGGACCTATCATGGTCAATACAACATTCCGAACTATCTCCTCTCGTTTCAAGGTGCTTTGGGCATGCGCGGGACCTACTTCGCCGACACAAATTTCTCGGAGCCGGTTTTCACATTACAAGAGACACCAAACCGCGATTGGGGACTCTACCCGCCTGTCGGTCTTCCTTCGAATAACTTCAGTGTCATCTGGGAAGGCGAACTTGAGGTTCCGGTAGATGGAGCCCCTGTCGATGGCTGGCTGGGTGTTGCTGCAGCAGCGAACTGCTCAGCTCGTCTTTTCGTGGATGGCGTTTTGGTCGCGGAGAAGGTCCTCTCACCCAACAACACTATCATCGGCAATATCCAGGTGGGGGTGGATAACGCTCAGCCACCGCCTGGGGGTGTGGAGTTCTTATTCCAAGCCGGCGCGAAGCACCAACTGCGACTGGAGTTCCAGGCCTTCAATACGGTCATCAAGAGGGCAAATTTTGGTAGCTTGAATGCCGAGGTAGAGCTGTTTTGGAATTTAGTGGACCGGCGGGATGCAGTCAAACGAGTGAGCAACATTTGTTTTGACTGCGCTAGAAACTTATCTGTTAAAGGCTGTTGACCTTGCGAAGAAGGCGGATGTCGTTGTTCTTGCTGTTGGTGCAAATTGGAACAGCGATGGAGAGAGTGGGGATCGCGCAACATTGGGATTGTCTCCAAATCAAAGTAAGACCTCGTTCTCGAGCAGTAAGAAGGAGACACCCGCTAACTTCAATTCAGCCGTTCTCGCTGATGCCATATATGATCTTGGAAAGCCCGTCATTCTGGTTCTGCAAGGCGGCCGGCCGTTTGCCATACCTGAGCATTACACCAATTCTGCCGCGGTAGTCAACGCTGTGAGTCCAGGCATTATAAATTTCTAGTAGCTCACTCTGCGGGTATAGTTCTTCCCTGGACAGTCTGGCGGACAAGCAATATCTGATGTCCTCTTCGGCGTGTACAATCCTGGCGCGAGGGTCCCACTTAGCGTGCCTTTCGATGTCGGCACATTGCCGGTGTATTACAAGTGCGTGGTTTGACCTTTCTTGTGACGGTCATTCTCATTCGTCACATCAGTTATAAATCGACTGCACATGCCAACAACTATACGGACGAGAATGCTGGTTCTTACCCCATCGTAGGTGTCGTTCACTTGAATAGTACCTTCAGATATTGACCCGATAATTCCAGTATAGCTTCGGATATGGGCTGTAGGTTCTCTCGAACAATCTTTCTTTCACTCGTATTCATCCCAACTAGTTCGTATACCACTTTCGAAAGCTCCGATTTCAACACGCGTGGCCAAAAGACCTTTTCTTTGGGTTCTAACATCACATTTTCGACGAGGATCACAAACACTGGCAATGTCGCAGGAAGCTATGTCCCTCAAGTATATCTCCTCCGCGCAGGACGTGTCTCCACAATCACAGTGGCCGTCAAGCAGCTTGTTGCGTTCTCTAGGGTCTATTTAGATGCTGGGGAAAGTGCGGTGGTGGATATGGACTTGGAAGTCGACCGATTCCTGCAGGTGGTCAATCGGGAGTATGAATGGGAGCTGCAGAAGGGTGACTACACCTTTGCATTGCTCGAGGATTCTGGCAGGTTGGCTAGTACAGCAACCAATGTGACCTTGACCTGTATTTGAGGTTTGTTGTTCGTATTTGTGTTTTATTCCGATATTGATAGTTTTTAGACATTGACAATGTACTTATAAGAGCGAAGGACTCAAGCATGTAAATATTTATCTGGCTACAATTCAGCAAACTCGAGTTGGGAACACAAACTGTCGTGCCAGTTCCTGACGCAAACTACGGGTCCCCTATGTCCAAAAAATCCACCTCGTAGTTCTTCCACTCTTCGCCCAGTTGGTAATCGATTATCTTGAGGCCCAAGGCAGTCGCAGTAGGGAGCGACGCACGCAAGGCATGTACATACGCCGAAAAAACATAAGCATGCTCCTTATCGTCAAGTCTGTCCATCGCACGCTTGCTCTTCCGAGCGTAGCTATGTGATGGGTAGAAGCGGGGAACACAATAGACGGCCGCAGAACAACCTTTCAGAAGATCGTCCAGAGTTTTGAGCGAGGCTGGTGTCGAGCTTCCGGTGGGAAATGCGAAGGTGTCGCTGGTAATTTTATGCCATCCGGAAAGGGGCAGGTCAGGGCGAAGCCATAGCTCGCTGAGTGAAGGCAGATTGCCACCGACCAACAGGTCGGCGAGAATTGTGAGCAAGCGGGGAGGAGGCGCGAACATAGCTGTGTCACCGTTGGGGTAGTTCTCGAACCCGATTTGCAGATACTGAAGGTGTGGGAGAGGCGGTATCGAGAATGAGGTGATCGCGTGGTCTTTTTCAGGAGCTGATATGACATACTCAGCTGATAGTACTATGGAATGAGGGAAGACGCCTACCTGGCAATTTTAAGGACAGATACTTCAATGTTTTACTAACAGCTAGACATAGTTCGTAGACCTTGGATTGGGCAACCTCAGCATGCCAACTGAAGCCGGCCATGGTAAGCACCAGGGTGCGCAGGGATGTTACATGGGGGAGAACCAACTTGAACATGATAGGGTTACTGATGTCGATAATTCCAATTTTGAGGCGTTCAATGGCAATGGATGGCATCAAGTCAGCTTGATCGAGTGGACTCGTATCGTCATTGTGGACAACAGAAAGACCCAGAATCGATACAGTTGGACAGGCAGTAAGCATGCGATTAATGAACGTGTGGGGTATGTCCCGGAAGTCGCTGAATTCGAGCTGACGCAAAGTGCTACTTGAAACTAGGTCTTGGATGAGCTCCTCAATTGCGTTTGTGAAATCCTTTCCCGAGGAACTCCATTGGAGTTGGTCAACGACAGCGTCGACCGACCAGACTGACACGACAGAAACATTGGTAAGCTGCTTTAGCAATGAACGCAGCGGGCGGACGCTGTCAAGCCGCCGCTCCAAAGTCTGAGAGTACGTGTCGAAGGCAAGTGATAATGCCACAGAAGTTACAAGACGTGCCAAGTGCGGAAATGCAGCGAAATGGGCGGCAACTGTGGCAGGCGAGCGGCGGGGGCCGCTCCAGTAGTTGTCGATGTAGAGATGGCGGTAAAGTTGTTGTTGGGCTGGGTGGCGGAAAACTTGCGCGGCAAGAGCGCAAGATGCGAGCGTGCCTCTGTTACCGTACCCGTCATCGACATGGGTGACCACTAGGTTTATGAGCTCAGCAGGGAGCCATGGCATGAGTGGCAAGGACGAGTTTGTTGTGGTCTTTGGGCAAGATGTTGGTCCCAACTCTGAAACATATCACCGTCCGAGTCGAGTCAGACCCAGGCCTCACCAGGCACACACACACTTTGGTCGTCAATCTGGATTATGAGGCGAGGGACCCGGGTTCGCTACGAACGCCGCAGAAGGGTTCGTTTTTCCGTGGTGAATGTTGACAACGTTGAATGTAGAAGTGATTTTGGCTTGATTCCGGCCGAAATACGATGACGTCACCTCAGCTTAGTAACTTCGACCGCTTCCTCATATAATGCGCCTTTCTGTCATCTTCCTCCGCCCAGTCGAATGTCAGCACTGAGATTTTCTCCCTTTCCTCCACCTACAGAATGGTAAGTACAGCCTGAGTACTTGAGGCGAACCTCTCAATCATTAAATTATACGCTTGCAGGCGCATTTCCATGGACAGCCAGAGGTCCCTGACGAGATACTCCTCCAAATCTTCCACTGCGCCCTTCCACCCTCTTGGACGAAACAATATGCCCACCAACAACCTCCCTTCCCCCGCGCCCGCTGCTCCGTGGATCGGCGGACAAAAATATCCCTCGCCAGCGTGTGCAGGTCGTGGTATCGCGTCGCGGCCGAGCTCCTCTATGAGCATATATCACTTTCGACAATTGGCCAACTCGTTGCCCTCGTCGAGACGCTCCAGACTCGGGCAGATCTCGCCAAACTGGTGAAGAGCGCCAGCATGTGCTACGTTATGCCCTCCGGCTACGCCATAGTCCACGAACAAGCACTGCACACGCTGTTCGACCTCTGTCCCAATCTTGTTGACTGGGAGTTGAATTCGACCCCTGTGATAGGGGCGGATATATGCGGTCCTCCGTTTCAACTCTCCGCTTTCCAGTTGACCAGTTTGCATATATTCCGTCTTAACCATCCAGCAATGTTCCACGTCCTGCGTCAAGTTTGTCAGACACTTGTCGACGCAACCTTGCCTCTTCCGCCAGACGCTGTTTTCAGCCAGCTCCGGGTTCCTCGAATGCTATTCCTCAAACTGGTAAACCTTCGGCTAGTCCTATCATACGACTCGCACTTTCCCAATACATGGGCGTTTCCCGCGCTAACGGCTCTCCGCCTCGTACCCGCTCAAAACGTCTTGATTTTTTTGAGAAACACCATTGAGGCTACCCTACTTGGCTTGTTCTCTGCCTGCGGGAAGACTATTCTATCACTTTCTGTGGCCGAGAGTGTCGCAACCCCCAGAATGATGCACCAAATGCTTGCTTTGTGTCCGCGGATTCAACAAATCAATGCGGGAGACTTTGTATTCAACGACGTATTCCACGCAGAAGAGATTCAGCCAGTGTATACTACCGTCACATCCCTCGACATTGTCCACCATCACAATGCAGAGTTGGTCAATCTCGGAGAAGTTCTCGATGTTGGGGAACTGAGGAGGATGTTACCTGCGTTGAAGTCATTTCGACTCGTCCCGTTTATAGCGGCCGAGTTTCTGGTTTGGCCACCACCTGATTCAGACGATGCAGAGGTTGGGGATAATGCGGAGTTGCGCCAACTACCGACTATTATCGACCCCCCGAAAGATTCGCGACTTGCAGAGATGCTCCGGATGACGATTGATACTGAAGATAAAGAAGACTTGGATGACGGGGATTTTGAGCCGTCAGATTCGGAGTCGGACAGCAGTGATGGAGAGGAGTGGGAAAGCGATGGGGAAGACGACGGAGGACTTTGCGAAACGGAGGTCACAAGAGAAGACGTGTTGGCTATTTTCAGAGCAAGGGGAGCATTGATAGCTTCCAGTTCAGATTCAGATTCAGGGGAGGAGTCGGAAAAAGAGGACGAGATAAGATAATATTATTATCTCTGATTGCTCTAGCAACGGCGATGGAGACCGTTAGTCGATCGTATAAAGCAATGGCGCTTGCAAGTAGTGGATGCACATTTCCAGTTTCCCTCAGTCTCCAACGACAATACTGGGCGTGCAAGCTATTCATTATCAAGGTGGGGTCGCTCCCGGCATATGCCATTCCGATAAACTGTTGCAAACAGGCAGCGACGCGGGTACGACTTGGAAGCGGATGCTAGAGGGTGGTAGTGGGTCTGGATAGCGGGGCACAGAAAGACATTGCCAAGGTTAAGGGCGGCGAGCGATGCCCACGATGGAGCCCCCCAAGGTGCCGCAATTACGACCAATTGCGCTCCCGTCGCAACTTCCTGACAGCACTAGCGTCGTTCTCAGACTGCATCCCGTCCTCGCCCCAAATAGCCGCATACCCATCTCCCTGGCCGGCAAAGTGTCGCCGTGCTGCCTGCTCGCCGCGCCAGCAACGTTCCCGGCACTTCCGTCCCTCACGCTGGTCGTTACAGAGCTTCCCTGGGTCTTCACCGTCCATGCCCTTATTCACGGGGGGGTCACGGTTGGGGATGTTTTTCGCACTATTGGAGACACCTTGAGTTTGCAGGTCGACGAGGGGCAGTTCTATGAGTGGAAGATGCACATGCAGAGTCTGAGGGCGGATACTAGTAGCAGCGCGGGGCCGGCCATAGGGTATCGTTGCGGAATGACGAGAGCTGATTTACTGGGTGGACGGACAAAGTTTGCGGGACTTTTGGCGGAGGACTACGATGGCGATGTATGGACGCTTGAGCTCAAGGACTCTACGTAGAACTGTTTGCATATGGACTTGTGGGGGTAGTCGTGGAATACAAGTTTACGGCATCACATCTGTCACTCATTTCTGAGCTTGAACACAGCATCTTCTTGCTCGTATTTTGCACAAACTCTCAACCAAGTGCACCATACTGGAAATCTGACGGTTCTGACCTTGCCTGCGACGTTTGCGCCCATGGAATCCTCCAACTCTGAAAACCCACCAGCAACCAAACCTTCCTCAGATGCTCAAGTGCTCTCGCATGTTCAAACCGTTCTCACCAACTACCTCACCTCCTCGCCGATCTACCAACTCCTCCTGTCTTCGGTCATCCTGACTGCCGCGACCACCGGGCGTGTGTCCTTGAAACTGGTCGTATTGCCCGTCCACGTCAACTCCAAGTCCAGTCCGTCCTCTGTTTAATCCTTGGGCCCCCTTTCATTGCCGTCCTAACAGTCCTGCACGGTTCTTTGTCTGCAACCATCATCGATCTAGTGGGCGGCCTTGTCGTGGCCTCAGCGGGCAGCGCCAAAACGGGCGTGTCTACCGACATGCATATCTCTTTCGTCGGGACCGCGCGGGAAGGAGACACTCTGTTTATTGAGGGGAGCGCAGAACGGGTGGGCTCTACCCTCGCATTTGCCAGAGTGACCATAGAGAAGGAGGACGAGGCTGGTGGTCGAGCGGTCGTTGCAGCGGGCAGCCATACGAAGTATGTTAAATAACAAGACATGTCTAAGTTACTATCGATACAATTAGGGTCTGTTTTTTCTGGTCATAGCTGGCTCCGGGAGAAGTCGTGATCGTGCGTCAAATATACAGGCCGAGCTGTGCCATCCTCGTCTGAATCCCGCTTTGCTGTCGCTTTCCGGTTGCCCCTTGGTAGCGTCTGTAGTGCAATACTGTTCTCGTCATCCACGCTGGCAATTCGCCTCCCGGAACTGCTTCTCCTTGATCGACCAGGACGGAATTCGGGGGCAGTATCGTTATTGTCCAACGTGGTCATCGTCAATACGGTCGTCATCGGGGCCGCCGTTTCGTCAACATCCAATGTCGATGTTCCGTCCGTTCGTGAATGGCGATGGTGAGAGCTCAAGATACGTGGGTCGCGCAGGTTGAGCATCAGGCGAGAGATGATCACAGAGGACATGCTAGATGGCTATATCAGGTACAGGCAAAAACGTGGAAATAGAGGGCACGCACACATTAGTTAAGGTCGTTACCGCACCACTAATAATCGGCTATTTGGGGGGACTATTAAGCTCGGAAAGCTACGAACATGGTGCACGTACGCCACCGGTGATGTATGTCTCGATGTTCCATGCATTCGCTGCGATGATGATTCTAAGGGTCACAATGAGTCTAGTATGGGGCCCCCTTGGATGAGCACTAACGCGAAGTACATAGCACCTATAAGCTCATCAGCATCGCTAGCAGGCAATTGAAGGCACTCACCATCCCGAAGGAGCATAGAAAAAAGATTCCTTCCTCGGATCCCATGCCTCAGGGCCTTGAAGACGGTGAGGAGGAATATCGTCACATCAAAGACCAGCTGAAGAAGCACGATTAGCATCTTTGAGCGTTAACAGGTGAAACGCGCAGACCATGCCGGTCCACGCAATTCCGGAGCGTATGGCACTAAAGCTGGTTCAGCCAACCGATCAGAGGGGCCTGAAACCTGCACATACGCGTCGCGTGGTGTTGCCCCAGGACATCCAAGCAGTTTGAGACGGTCGTCGAGAGTGTCGTGTGAGCTACCAAACAGAAGGAGAACCTGTCCAAGAACCCTTAAGCAACGTAACTAACACCTGAAGTAGACACTGACCAAGCCGTTTGTTAGGGCACCAAGGGTAACGAGGACCATTAGCGCCAAGACAGCCTTGTTTCTCTCGTATAGAGCGTAAGTGCGCGTTATTAGCAGGACTGTCGTGTGATTAGTGTTTGTATGGCCGAAGATAGATGGATGATGTACTGGCGACCAAGAGTTGGGAAAAGACAGCGAAGAATTCGTGGTAGATGTGGAATGCAAAACACCTAGAGAAATTTCAGCGTGTGTCCTTGGAGGCAGAGAGTGTTAGAAACATCTGGTGTTCGGTGAGTAGCGAACGAAGAACGGGGTTATTAAGCGCACTTGTCGCTTAGCGGGGTCGCTAGTAGTAAGGGAGAACTCTACAACAATTGGCACGGTCCCAAGCAGTGCGACATATCGATTGGCAAAGAACAGCGCAGAGCCCCATGTTACTCGTGTTCCCCAGTACCGCGAAACCTCTACATCGAGCGTCAAGAGGTAGTCGTAGAGGATCACAACTTGGAATGCAGTCGGTTGGAAGATATGAGGTATCTGAACAGCCCATACCGAAGGGGACAAAAACGAGATGGCGCGAGCTCGTTCTGGACAGGTTTTCGGTTCGCGTTGAAGCTAAAGAGTGCAAATGAACTCACAACTGAGTTTGGATAGTCTCTTCAGGCAGACTTTCGAGCATCCAGCCTGGGACCGAGGCGACGAGGGCATCCGCAGGTGGGACTGGTTCGTGAGCTGGATGGTGCTAAGAAGAAAGACGGAACACCAGAAAAATTCGGAGATCATAATCCCAGGGTTCGGGAGTTTCCGTTGCCAATGTCGCCGACTCGCCGCACGTTATGACCGAAGCCTTGACCGAAGCACGTCGGTCTCGGGCGGTGGAGCTGCTTCTGAAGTTCTAATTATAAGTAGCGAGCTTGCCAAAAACATGGGATCATACGCATACACGGAAAAGAAACCATTCGCTGAGTTAACAAAAGTTCTTTGACTTGCTAGTGCCATGATGATCGCTTGCGTCTCCAGAGTAGTTGCAAGCGTCAAATCTGGCCTGCAGTTACAACGAACAGAATCCATGAGTAGAATCGGACGGTGAGATGACTGTGGGAGGATAACACGTGCCTCGGCTTAGCTCATTTCCGATCCACGACCGAGCCTTGCCCCCACAGACCTGCTGCGATGGCTACAGCGTACTACGAGTTCTACCGTGGCTCCTCGTGCGCCCTCAAGTCTACGCTTTTGAACTAAAGAATGCTCAAGCATTTCCCTCAGGCTCGGAATGGCGCTCACCGACTCACTCGATGAGCTCATCACGAGCGGGGCCATTACCCCTCAGCTAGCTATGAAGGTTCTCCAGCAGGTCAGTGTTTTCAATATCAACAAGCTTCTGCACTAGTTCTCACTCCTTCTCGCCTTACAGTTTGACAAATCTCTTGCGGACACAATGGTCAAGTCAGTCAAAGCCAAGACAACGCTCAAGGTCCATATATTCCCTTCCGAGACTCCCTCCAATCTCTTCTTCTTTCTCGCCTCTCACTTTGCTGACTTATTCATTTCAGGGTCACTTGAAAACGTATCGGCTTTGCGACGATGTATGGACCTTTGTGGTCAAGCAAGCGTCTTTTAAGATGGAATCGAACGAAGTCGTTCAAACTCCGCGTATCAAGATTATTGCGTGCAAGAACGGAGAGGCAATCGAAGCGGGCAAAAAGTAATTCATACCCTCCCCCAGCACCGCTCGCTTTCCTTCGTGGACTTCGCTCGCTTTGTATGGACCGTCGGATACCTTCCGTGCTAACCACCTGAACGGCCTAAGTGGCCAACCCGGTATCTTATCGTGGACATACACCATGCTACTTACTACGTCTGCGTCTTTAGAGTAACTCAATACATCTCTTCGCGCGATTTGTCATCATAGCACGCAAGTTTAAAGGACTCTTAGTTCGGCTACGATCTCAGTGCCCCCGACAATATAAGAGGTGTGCTATCCAAGTCTGACTACCGCAGCTCTGCTCAGTCATATCATAGGAGCCACATAAGGTGTCCGAGCTGCTTTCAATGCTGCCTCAATGACCTTCATGCCCTCCAACACCTTTTCTTCTTCCATTCTTCGACCAGAAATCTGCACCCCCACCGGTAGTCCATGCATCTTGGTTGCGTCATATATGCTCCAGATGCCTTTGGCCGCACTCGTCATCCCATTGGCGCCAGAAACCCCACCCGGCGGTAACGAATCGAGCTCCTTGTCGACCGTTGTCACCGGTAATACCCCAGCAGTGTAGTCGAGCATGTTCCACAAGAAGGTATATGCAGCACTCAGCAAGCTTGTCTTGTCTCCGGTTCCGTTTTCAAGTGCTGGCAATGGATGTGGTACACTCAACACAAAGTCCAGATTCTCTTCCATCCATCGCTGGTACCACTCCTCGCGCAACGCATCGCGTCGAACCACGAGAGCGCGTTCTTCCACGACCGATTTCGTATGCGTGACGGAGAAGAGGTTCGAGGTGAATGGGTCAGAAGTAAAGAAGGCGAGGCAGCGTTTGACGAAACGCGGGAGTGCGAGAAGGGACAACGTGTTTTGGAGTGGACGGTTGAGTGTTTCTCCAGGGAAACCCGCGTTACGGATTTGTTCACCTGGAAAATTATATGTCAGCAGGATATCGGACCAATAGGTGGCTCGGTTTGACCTCCATCCGCAAAGACGAGCTGATTTCCGACTATGAGCAGCTCTTCAACGTTAGGCGGGCAACTAGAGATAACTTCATCAGCTCACGCCGTGGAGAGAGCAGAAACCCGACAAATCGACAACCTCGTGGCCTTGCAATTTGAGGGCATGCACCACATTCGAAAGTGCTCGCCTGCAAGCTGGCGTCGGAGGACAAATTCCATTGTCCCAAATGACACCCCATTTGAGCTTGCGACCGTCAAGCAGAAGATCGACGTGCTGCCATGGTAGCGGAACACACTAGAAGGAAGACACAGACGGCCATCAGACGCCACACCGGAAAGGCCATTGGCCTATGTAAAATAAGACGCACCGTCATGTCGTATAACCAAGGTTTCATCCCAACAACTCTTCTCCAAAACTCCTCTAGGTCGTCTAGTTTGGCCGCCATTGGCGCTGCCACGCTCTGCACACTTTCCAACCCAGGCATGCTCGTACCTGTTCCCAGACTTGGAAACCTGCCAATGCTTCCCTTCAGCCCATATATTCCACAAAAGTGGGCTGGCATCCGCGCGCTCCCTGCTAAATCAGTTGCAATCTCGATCTTGCTCCCACCGCAAGCGAGCAATGCAGCACCACCACCAGTCGAAGCGCCGACACCATGTCTGGGGTTGTAAGGATTCGTGGTCAGCCCAAATGTGTCCGAGGCAGTTTCGTTGGCGAAGAGACAAGTGGGGACCGTTGTTTTGGCGTGAATGATTGCGCCAGCATCCTTCAGCAGACGGACGATGGGTGAGGAAGCGGGGACAGGTCTGTCGACGCGGGAAGAGAGACCAAGAGTGCTGTCATGGCCAACAATGTCAACGCTGTCTGTGGGTCGTCAGTCCAGCAGCGGGTGCTGAAACGAGGAGACGAGCTTGCCCTTCAAACTAATCGGGACCCCAAACAATGGATAGTCCCGCAACGTTGCATTCGACGAAGTCGTATCCGAGTCTTCGCCGCAATGAAATGTTTCGACGAAGGCGGGGTTGTCCAATGCATCGTCAAACATGAGGTCGGATATGCAGTTGGTCAGCCGTTGTGCTTGGAGGGTCTTTCTCCCGTATACCCCTAGCACATCATGGAGAGAGACCGAGCCGGTACTGCATTCGACGACGAGCTGGGCAAGGGAGAGTCCGTGGATCTTGTCCGAGAGTGTTTGAGGGTATAAACTCTCATATGAGGAGAAAGAGTCCAGTTGCGCTTGACGCTGGTGTCGTTTCGATGCGCTATCAATCGAGCGTTGGTATAGATGAGGAGCGGCAAAACGGGGGAGCGCTCACCAAGCTCGACGGTGTGCGGAACTCGAAGAAGCCGTCATGAAAGGGGGATGGAAAATCGGGAAATGGATGGGGTGCAGTAGGTTTTAAGCGTCGTTCGAAGGCAATAGACCGGAGCAGACAAGAAGCAGATGGATGCAATGGTGAAAAAGAAGGAGGAAATCAGAGGAGCGGGCCTTTTGGTTGACTAGTCGTTTAGGCCCCCGCCGGATGACAAGCCACCGTTACTATCGCAAAGAACTGCCATTGCCCCTTCTTTGTGTGCATATGCGCCACTGGATCCTTGCTTGTCGAGATTCGTTCGTGATGCCGGTGGCGCTAAAAAAGCTGCGCTAGAATATAGAAGCGCAGAAGCAGGGAAGAGAAGGAACGATAAAAATGAAAACGATGGGCATTGTGGTATGGTCAAGGGAACCCAGCGTCGTGTTTTATTATCTTGAAGCCTCCAGGTTCGAATTCGACAACAGCCATTTATCAGCGAGGGGACTGGGAAGGGAAATGGTCGGAAAGCTACCAAATAGAGGGAGACGGCTACTAGGTAACTCAAGAAGAGAAGGGAAAACATTCAGCAATCGTGATGGCGGGGAAGCGGGAGAAGGAAAGCTAATGCGATAGAGAACCGGGCTGTCTAACCTCGAAAGACAGCTACTAGTAAATACGGGACATTCCGACACGGGTCATTCTCCGCCTTCACTCAGTCGATACTTGATAATTTCCACAACCGTTGCCGCATGCACTGGAATGTTATTGCCGTGGAAGTCTTTCGGATAGTTTACGCCCTGCGAGGAGTATTCAGTGTGACGGCAAGAGGGCTTCTTATACTTGCCTTGTGGTAGGTGCCTTTTTCAAAGGTTAGGTACGTGTCGTTCCAAACGGCATAGTGCTGTCCATGGTACTATCAGAAAGACGCTATTGCGACGACAATCCTTACCTTGTGTCCCATGTTGCGAGCGAGCATTTCATAATCAAACACGTAAGCTGAGAGAAAGTCAGCAAAAAACCAACAAGCAGTGCGAGGAATGCTATGCGTACCCTCCGGAGCAAAAATTTCTATAACCGTTGAGCGCGGCGAAGGTTGCATCCATAGCTGGTGCTAATGGCCGTCAGTGCAGGCCACGTTCCCTTTGGGTTGACGATAAACATACCGTTAGTCCATTGCCATGTACCCCGACAAGGATCTACGATGGTTTAGTTAACATCGATGAGCGGTGGGGCCTCACTTGCCGTGCTATTCCGCATCACATCCACCTGGTCCTTGAGGATCATCTTCTCCATCTGCACCACCTGGACGTCACAGTGACCCGAACTTTCTAGCTCATGCAGCGCTGCCACTAGGGCTTCGTGGTCTGTCCCGTTGAGACGACGGCCACCACCCTGCCGCGAAATATAGGTGACCACTGGTCGCTTTCCGTCAACCCCAGCCATGCGAGTTCCCCACATGCTCTCCCAGACATTCTCCCGAATGGGCCGCCAGAAATCTTCAGGTGCAGTCACGTTCATCGTGCCCGCAATCATTTTATACCAAACACCGCCGAAGGGACTATTGATGCTCAGCGACCCAGCCATCCCAACAGGAAGCCCACTCACTGTTTATGTGCTGCTGACCGGGTGATGATAATCGTGCGCTCAAATATTACGGTTGTGTCGAGCTTCTTCAAGTCGTTCCAATATGCTGCTGTCTCGATAAGCGAGTTAGGGAACGCAGCTCGCATGAGGGGACCATCGACTCCGGCCCTGTCGCGCCATTCCGAGTCCGAGGATATGAACTGGAAACGATCACATCGTATCGACTCACAAACGCGGGGTGGTACTGACGGGTAAAAGGAATCGCTCGACGGGAGGTAAACGGCCAAAATCGACCTGTGCCACGTCCGAGTCAAGCAGCGTGTGGGTATAGACGCGCCAGAAACCGAGTATTATCTCGCCAAACCAGTGGTAAAAGTGCTGCAGAGGGTAAGACGGTGACAGCAACTTCCTTGCAGAAGAACGCACATGCATGAACTGGGAAGGATCATAAACCACCACAGAAACACCCGAGACCCGCATCGCACGCTGACTGCCCAATATGCTCTCGGCAGCATGGCTCTCCGGCTCGAGAAACTGCAGTTCTTGGTCGGTTGGGTCAGAATCCACACCTGCGCGGCTTTCTACAGGCCTCGATATCAGTTCCCGACGCGGAGGAAACACCTGGCTTGCGTTTGGCGCGAGGATATAAAAGGTCCCTTGGCGGAGATAAAGATTGTCGATGACGGTGAAGCCGTGAACGTGTGCTTGGTTGGGAATGCTCGTAAATGGATGGAGCAATATTTCATTACGGAGTGTGTCGACCGGAGAATAGCTCGGGTTTTCTTCGAGAGGGATGAATTCGTCGTCGATCTCAACCACCGTAAGCGTTTCAGTGCTATCGGACGCCATACTGGGCCTGGTTGCATATGGTGCTAGCCTCGCCAGATCTAATCCGCCTCCCGTTGTCCAACGAAGGAAAATGAGCAGCGTGACCATCGTGGTCAGGCCAATTACGAGGGCGACCCCGCCTCGACGCCTGGAAAGGCCGCTGTTTACCATCCGAATGGACTCGCTGAAGTCCTCGACGGACAGGACAAGACGGGACAGCCTGGGACCGAGAAGCGCAGAGCATCATTGTAAGAGCGACCCGAGGAACGACCTTTCCATTGACAGCGGCGAAGGAGTGGCTTTTCTCATGTAAGCTAGTCAGATTGGCGCTGGCGGCTGAACTCTTTGTCTAGTAGTTCCTGGGCCGCGGTGGTAAGCATACGGAGTGAGGTTCTGTTCGCTGGGTGGTATTTAATGGTAAAGACTAGTGCAGATCAATACCTGATACTTTTGCGGGGACATAGTATACGCCCACAGCAGTTCCGGCGTCTTCCAGCGGAACAGAGAGTTAACCTAAATCCGTTCGTTCGTTAGCGAGGGAGCTTGGTGATTTTTTTCGGGGGGGGAGACAAAACAACCGTAACGATGTGCAACGTATAGGATAGACAATAACTGAGCAACACAAGACGTACTAACCAACATTTCTGACTAGCTGACATCCATCGTGTCTTCGTCCCAGTCATTCTCAGCGTCTCCGAACAATTCTTCAGGTGGAATGTCAGCAAAGTCTGCGAGTGCTTCTGCCGCGAGGTAGTCTTGTAGTGCCTCGTCCTCGTCGACGGCGGATGGAATAGAAGTTAAGGGGTCAAAAGTATTACCTGGACAAGGTAAATAAGACGCAAGTCGAGATAAAAAAAACCACACACCGAGTTCATCCTCCCACTCGAGAGGATCTTCAAGAGCTGGATCTGACGAGCCAATTTCGCGGTCATAGGCATGGAGATAGCTGCGGCGCGTCTTGCGTGTCTGGTTTCGCATGATTCTAATGAAAAGCTAACAACTAATGAGCGGCAGAAGGGGAGAAGAGGAGGAGAAGGAGACTAACTTCGTCGAGTAGCGGGTCCTCTTCTTCATCGTCCATTTCTTCGTCAAAGTCAAATCCATCGCTGCTCGACATGTTCATTTGCCCTCCACGCTTTCTATTAACCGCCCGCTCTCGCGCTTTGGTCGCCCGCTCCAAGCACCGCTTTTTCAGACGGGTCCGAAGAAACGCTGCTTGGGAGCCATCTCCGTCGTCACCCATGGCTGCACCTGCACCCAGGTCAGCCCCACCACTTGCCCGACGAGGGAAGCCCAAAACCAAGGGTGGCACTCGCGGAGGTCGCGAAGACGAGGATTTGTACTGAGCTCGACGACGCGTCTGGACAGCAACGGTGGGTGATGAGCCGGGGTCTTGGTCTTGGTCCATGTCAAATAGGTCTCCACTGCGGTTGGCGTTGTGGTTGTATGCGCTCAATGGACTGCTGTCGGCGAGTGGTGACGAGTGATTGGGTCTATTCATCAGTGCCGCCGCACTTTGGTGGAGGTAAATTCGAGACGGGGCTTTTGTGGAAGTGAAAAGCGGACGGAGGGGATGGTCTGGTGGGGGTTTGGTTGTGGACTGTTAGAGGTTGTCGGGGTAGAGACATGAAAGGGGGAAGAGGAAGTCGCAAGATCACGTGGAATCATCAATGCCGCGTATTGTCACAGACACGATTGCGTCAGTCACGGTGACGTGTTTCTTTCGGCTTGTATCCACACTCATGCAACTGTGTTGTGAAGCCGGGAAGAACCCGGTATAACTTTACTAACCACTATTCGCCACGAATGACAATCTGGAGGCTCCCTACCAGCATTGAGTAGCGCTTATTACGGCTCCCTCGCTCTACTTCCGCTGCCGTCTCCAAGCCGTCTCTCATTGGTTGTTATGCGACACTCGGATTGCTCTGGAGGCTTACGGTCTCTGTTGAGGTGGGGTGTATCACGACCGACTTTTGCACATCGACATCCTCCACCAATCCTCTACGCATCTGAATCATTCCCAGCTTCATGCATCGTTTCGGGAAACTTGCAACGCTTATCGAAATCAAGGGAACGTCGTCACGAAGCTGTATCTCGACGGATGCGACACAACTGCCCTCTCCATGATTCACGAAACGCATCTCGCTATTTCTAGGTGACGGTGCGGAGCCGTCCAGCCTAGCCTCCCTCCGTTGAGTCCGTTCAACCGTTGCCAACCCGCAAATTCAACGTGAAGTGGGTTCTAGTGTGCCACCAGACGGTGACTGTCCCCAACAACTCGCCGTTTGAAGCCCTCCATGATTCCTCGACACCAGATGGTCGCCAATCAACGCCCTCATCTGCTCCGGGATGCTTCCCTGCAACGAGCGCAAAGCAAAAATATCGTCAGAACACCACGTTCTGGTCTCGTGTCTGTCCGCGGCCCGGGCACTGGGCGGCCACATATCCCATCGAATTATTCCTGGCCACATCTTGTTTCTGCTGCCTCCATTCCGCTCAGGCGCTGACATTCAATTGTTAGTGACTACGGAACTCGTGAATTGGGAAGAACCGATATGACCGGCACTCAGATACGGTCCTCTCCGTGTCGCAGAACGCTCACACAACAGCCGATTGTTTCTTGTTTAGAAAAGCTCCAGCCACCTACTAGTAACGTTACCGTGTCCAAACGACATTTCGGTACCGCACATGTTCTTCGCGGTCTGGGGGAACATCTCACGCGTCAACTGCAAGGTCTTGACAGACACCAATCAGCGATATATGTAAGTGGGTGGCTATTTCTATTCCTGCCAGCCGATCTTCCCGTAGATCGGGAAATGTTACTTATGCATTGCGCATGGAGGGATCATCTAGCTCCGCTGATTGAGAAAACATATGTACTCCAGTGTCTAATAGTATGCAGAGTACTGATTTCTGTACTGCGCACTCAGACCAATGCAAGTAAGTAAGACTAATTTTCAAAACCCATGTCAAGACTCTCACAGACTCTTAAAAATAGTGGTTCTTCTCTGTCTTTGGAATGTACTGGTCGACATATCCGTCTGCGCCCCAATGAATGATCATGATTGAGATGGTAAGTAGAGGTTTAATAAAAGCATGCACTGCTCTAGTGCTAGGCTAATATAAAGACATCATCATGCAGGGCACCAAGAGCAGCCATCTCGTTGCTGTTGCTCGTCTAATTCACCAACCTCACTTCAATGACACCGGACGAGGCAGAAACACTCCAGGGTATCGGCCGGGACTGGTACCAAGAGTTCATTGCAATCACAAATGAAACATTTATGCTAGGTAAGAATAAACAATAGCCCAGCTTAGTTCCAAGTCTAACAGACTCCTCGGATTGTTATTGTAGCGATATACACTGTGGTCATTTACCAAGCAGCATCTATCCTTTTGTGCGTGATCTGGATTGTGATACATAGGCACCAATTTTCTTATTATATTATAGAGGCCATCAAGCAAGACAAGTCCGGACTTATATTTACACTATGGCTGTCCTCACCCTCTTGTTCATGTTGGCCATGATTCTTTGGGCTATGGATCTGACCAGCTTCATCTGGGAGGCAAAATTTGTGTTGATCAAGCATCCTGAATCAGCTTTGGAGGATAAACTTGATGCAGCATATAACTTCCAGAATAAAGTAGTATTGTGGCAGACAGCAATTTATGACTGGATGGTGAGTGCATAGTATCCTTTATGTCAATACAAAATTTAATTTATTATTCTAGGCTTGGATTGGTGATGCTATCATTGTACACCGTGTTTGGATGTTGAAGGCCTACTTGAAACCATGGATAATTGCTGTCCCTGGGATATGTCTCCTGGGAACCCTCAGTAAGACTATCTTCTATACCTTCAGATCCAACTTGAATGCTAACAACTTCCTTAGTTGCTACACTTATGCTTACATACTGCACAGCAACTGCCAGTGGCGCTGATATTGCACTTGGCAGTTTCACACACCCCCCACTCTGCAAGAATGCACATTTGATAACATATATCCTACCTGCCCTGACAACTGCTGCTGCAACTATTCTTATTGGAATCACAGCATGGTGAGATTGATTTGCTCAAATATAATCAAAATCATTTTACTATCTGTGCAGGTACCACCACCAACGAATTGCCCCTTTGCATAGGAATGGAAAAGCAAGAAGAACAACTAGAGTTGAACAGATCTTCCTCATCTTGGTTGAGACTGGCTTCTTTTATTTCTTGTTCTTTGTATGTTTGCTTTTTTCTTTTTAGTTATATCATCATGATAATAATTGATAATTTTGATAGCTTCTACAGATCATTGGGGACATACCCAGTGTGGATAATTTGGTTGAATCCAACACAACACTGTCCATTCTAATGCTTATGTTTGACTACTGCTCAAGCATTATTGTGGGCATCTATCCAACTATTGTCATTGTTCTTGCCCATTCCAAGAGGACGACAATTATCACCGATCATGCAGGCACTTCTAGCATGGGCTCTCATATATCTACCTTGCATGCTAGTAGTGCACATCTCAGCACACTAGGCAGCTCAATGACAGGATACAATAGTAATAAAGTTGGGCTGAAACATAACATAGATGCAGGTGCAAGGGAGAGAGATATTGAGATGGGAGCTGTGCACACACTCACCAATGTGGAGTATAGTGGTAGTGATATGGGCACCATCAAGTATGGAAGAATTTAGCTGCAGAGAAAGATATTTTCTACTAAGGCTAACAATCTAAATGAGTACTTGTCTTAAGTTATTTGTTCTGATATAGTTATTAATATGTGAGATCATATATACTAAGATTAGGTATGACTAGGGATGCTGGCCATGCACATGGCAATGGCTCTACAGCACCCATCTATGGCCACCCATGCCCATACTATTAGCAATTCCAGCCATTGTGTTAACAGGATGGTTACAGGATAGCATGAACCTGCTGTGTGATGCGTAACATATGAACTAAGTAAAATACTACAGTATTGCTATAGGTTGTCAGGTGATGGTTGATCAATATGGCTTTCTGTTATATCCTGTGCATCTTCGGACGCTCCGAGGTTATCCTTGGAGCGCAACAGGGTTTTTACGCGATGAAGGTATCTGAGCGTTTCCCTTCAAACAGTTAATCTGCACGCAGACTCTCTCGGACCTGTTCGGACCCTCCAACCATCAACTCGGATCTTTACCCATTTGGACTTGCGTTTGTTTACTTATATCCTTTAGGCGTTCGCCTTGTTTCCTTTGCCTTGTGTATGTCTTCTCGTTCCCCTTACTTACTATGCCTTTGTACTTAACCCGCAGGGAGATCCTGCGGACCATATCGGATCTCCCTGCAAGGTCATATGCCTTATGCTTACCACTTAGTATAAATACTCATACTCTACACTCCTGTACTTCAGTGTCGTTATTAACGTTTCTTGCCTCGCTCTCCGCTCTCGTCCGACTCCTCCCCGCGTTCTAAGCCTTATCGCCTTCGGCTTCTCCGAACGTATCTGCAGGAGTTCACGTATTTGTTCAGACTTGCTTTCGGCCTGCAAGACATGTAGTCGCTCACTCCGATATAGTGTTGTGATAGCCACTCGGTTCTGCTTCGGACTTTCCGTTACTTCCCTTCGGTTCTTGCATGGCACTTAACAGTATAACGAAACTCAACTACTTGCCTTGCCATATCTGGACACTTTTCTCCAACGACTCCCTCTCCCCAACGCGCGGTTCTGTACGCTGCGCCTCACAACCCCCCTTTGGTTTCTCCTTTGGTTCAAATGCCTTCTCGGGATCGACACTCGCATACGGAGCCAGGCCTACAAGTCCGTGTTATGGCCGACTGTCATCAATCCCGCTTGTTCAGTCAAGTACCTATTTTGCGCTCTCCTACTCAGTACGTCTCTTCCTCTCCTGGTCCAAACACACAATTCATTGTTCCCCTCAATTAGCGGTTCCCCGGTACCAAGACATTCCTGTCAATACCGCTCCACCGTACTTCATGCCTCAACCTCGTCGTCACTCATCCGATGCTATTTTCTTGGATGAATCGCTCCTCCCTCGGCCCCTCCGTAAATACGCCGACGCTCAAACTTCGCCTCGTCTTCACGAAATTGTGGAGACCAACGAAGGTGTTGGTGGGGGAAATCCGGGAGGTGATGGCGGCGACAGTGGGGATGAAGGTGGGGAACCCGAGGGTGGAAATGAAGGGCCAGGAGGAGGCGGAGGACCCGATACCCCTCCGAACCGAGGCTCTCCCCTTCCGGGAGGTGGCCCTGGCAGACCTGGTGGACCTGGTGGCCCGGGAGGCCCCGGAGGCCCCGGCAGTCCTGGTGGAGGTGGTGGAGGTAGAAGACCTGAGTCTTCTGCGTCTTCAAATACGAATGAAGATTGCCAGTGGTTCCGTAATGGTATGGCCGCCCTGATTGACATTTTAACTGGCATTCGCAATGGCCAGCAACGTCCGACTACTCAGTGGCAATCCCGATCCAACCTTCGGAACCCCGACCAGTTTGACGGCTCTGAATCCTCAAAGCTAAGACCTTTCTTGGCTATTGTTTACCTGCATTTTGCTGAACGCCCTGACGCCTTCCCCGATGATGAATCTTGCATCATCTACGTCCTCTCGTACTTGAAGGGATCAGCACTTGCTTGGTTCGAGCCGGCCATCTACAACGCCGACCCCAACTTCTTGCCAGCCTGGCATAACAACTTTCCAGCTTTTGTTCAAGAGCTGCAAGACCACTTCGGCCCTGTGGACCCCGTCGGTGACGCCGAGACTGCCCTTCGGCATCTCCGTATGTCCTCCGGCGACCACATCTCGAAATACTTGGTCGAGTTTCATCGTCTTGCTTCGCTTGCTGGCTGTCGCCCTTCGTTCTCAGTTTTACGAAGGTTTGGCTCCACGGGTTAAGGATGCACTCCTTAATATGGAATACAACACTACTCTCCTCGGCGTCAGCGCGGCAGCTAAGAAAGCTGATCACCGTTACTGGCAACGCGTAGCCGAGAAGAAACGCGAAGGCATGACATCTGGTAATGCCGGACGCTCTGACTCTTCGAGCTCTGCTCAGAGTTCGAATTCTAACCAGAAGGGTGGTGGGAAGAAGAAGGACAATCATCGGTCCTCTTCGGGAAATTCTGGTTCTTTCTCATTGTCAGCGTCGGGCTCAGGCCGTATCGGGGCGTCGGGGGGTCCGCCTTAGAGCGGGTCTGAGGAGCACGAGAGATGGGTGTCAGCCCGGAGAATAGACGATATTAGCCTAGCGACTACATCTTGTAAGTACGGTTTTTATACGCTACGGTATTTAGGGAGGGATCGGATGGGCGTCAGGCCCCAGGGCGGATCGGATAGGCACTGCATACGGACGCAGGGGTGAAGGGAAGGGGTTGGAAGAATGGGGGGAGTGGCGAGGGATATGGAGTTAGTGCGGGCCCGGTCGGCCCCGTGCGGCCCCGTGGCCCGACGGCCCGACCCGAACCGTGACATCACCCCCTCCGTTGCGGGGCGGCGCCCCGACGCCTTATGGGTCCGCATTCCCTGGTCTTCCTTCCGTATCTTCCATCGCCCGTTTACAGGTTCCTCGCGTGGTGCGAACGGGTTGAGTGTGTAGAAATCTTTGAGTGCCTCCTCCGCGCCTTCAAGTTTGTCCCGCAATTCCCATGTCCACTCTTCCCAAGGATAGCCTTTCCATTGAATTAAGTACTTTAGGCGGTGTCGTCCTTGTTTTCGTACCGAGGGATATCGCCTCTACTTCATAGTGTGGTTCCCCGTCCCGCATCTCGGCCGGGGGTGGCGGGGCGGCCTGTTGATGATCTGCTACTGGGGCGTTCCAGGGCCGTTCCAGGGCGGTGTGGAACACAGGGCTCACGCGCCAAGTTGGGGGAAGTATCAGTTCGTAGGAAGTTTTGCCGACTTTACGCTTGACTTCAAACGGCCCGAATCTTTTGTCGTCCAGTTTTTTCGAGGGTCGGTCACTGGTGAGGTTTGTACCTTGCAGGTATACTCTGTCTCCCTCGGCGTAGTTTGGGTCCGGGGTTCGCTTCCGATCGTAGTACTTCTTCATAGTTTCCTGGGCCTCCCTCATAGATTCGGCCACGTCGGCCTGAGCTTCCTTCATCCGGTCGGCGAACACCGTTGTGGCTTCAGTTGGGACCTCTTGCGGTGCCTCGGACCCCTTTCTCAGGTGAAATCCCAATGTGAGGAAGAAGGGTGAGAACCCCGTTGAGGAGTTAACTTTATCGTTGAAAGCAAATTCCGCTAAGGAGAGCCAATCGGACCAGTCGCTCTGCTGGAAGTTGCAAAATGTTCGAAGGTACTGCTCGACCTCCATATTCGCGTGTTCCGTTTGCCTGTCCGTCTGCGGGTGGTAAGCCGATGAGGATCGGACCTTGATCCTCAACAATTTGCTTAAGTTGCTCATGAAATGTCCGATGAATTGTTGGCCCCGGTCGCTAGTCACTTCCTCTGGGAATCCATAACCTTCCAGACGTGATCGTGATATAGCCGGGCGACTCCTTCCCCGGAGATGTTTCCCATGCACGGGAGTACACGGATCCCTTTACCCAACCGGTCGACGATCACGAGAATTACGTTGTACCCGGAGGACTCTGGTAATTGGACGATCAGATCAATTGATATGCGCTGCCACACTCGAGTCGGCACGCTATTCGGGACTAGGGTCCCTACGGGCCGTCTCGGGAATATCTTCGTTCGTTGGCACAACGGACAGGCCCGTACGTAGGCCTGGCAATCGGTTTGAATCAACGGCCACCAGTAGTTGCGGGTCGTGAGCTCTAGGGTTCGATGCCAGCCTGGGTGCCCCACGATAGGAATGTCGTGGTGTTGTCGCAGCACCCGATGCCTCAGTCCCATAGCTGGGGGCACATACACGAGTCCGTTTCGAGTCTTGAAGCCACCGTGTTGTTCCCAGCCGTCCGGCACTCCTCCTTCCCAGAGTTTGAGGACCTTCTCTTCCGTGGCCGATTCGGCCCGTCGGATCAAATCCATCAGCCTGTCGCCCTCAGTATGCTCCAATGTAAGCATCACGCGGATCACGTGTTCCTTGAACAGCCCCGCCGGTAGT